CTCATACATAAGACCTCCGCAGAAGTGGTTTGGGTCGCATGAGGCTCCGGGGTCTGAAGATTTGCAAACACCACGCCTGCGGGGTTCGGTGTTGGCATCTCATGATTTGCGCCCAAGTAGTGCTGCTGTCACTCGCTTTCTGCTGGTTGCTTTTCCCTGGCTACGTTGGATCAGAAAAGCAACGCTGTCTGGACACCGTAGCCATTGCTCTTAGGTGCCGATGGGACAAACCATCGAAAGAGGCACCTCGTGCCTTGTGAGCCACAATCAAAACCCGGGTAGATGAAGGTTAGTAAGGGACAATCCCAACCATAGATAGCTGCAGCCGCCTTCTTAATTTACATGGTTCTGGGTCGACCATTTTACTACCGGGTTTTGATTGTGACTCATGTTTGCCGGTGGAGTTTCGGAGGTTTGGCCCACGACCCCGCAACCACATGCAAGCGCATTGCATTGTGATATGTATACTTCTCTTCCAGAAGGCTCTGGTTTGTGACTTCAGACCTGCTGAGCATTGACCCCAACCCTGCCACAGTACGAGGTTTCTCTTCATATGTTCCTTCTCAGTTTCCGAACTTGCTATTTTTTGGCAAATCGCTGTGGTGCGAATATCCAGGTTTATGCTTTGTGCGGTAAGTCACTCAGTGAGCTGTATTCTCAAAAGGTATAGATTAGTATAGATACTCTAATTTGTAAGCACACCTGTCGCAGGAGACTTCTTGTCCTCAAAGTGGATCTTCCCTTTGTGTGCCAAGATGACTTGGACCCCCGTTGGGGACGTGTTCAAAACAAGCCTTCCAGCATTTATGTGGAGGTATGGCTTGATTTGGATTTCGAAACCTTTGGTCAAACTCGAGCCAATGGTTTTTCTGGTTTTTCATTCGTGTGTTTGTTGCTTCAACATCTTCAACTCAAAAGCTAAGAAGTCCAGCCCGGCATCCCAAGGAACACGGTGAACAACGTGGAGCGTCGCCTGGGTGCCGCAGTGCCGGGGGTGCTTTGCGTGTGGGCCTCCGCTTTGCTGGCGAGCTACGCCTACTGGCAGGCCATTGGTCAGTCGACCAATTCGATACCTGGGTTAGGCTTAGGATACATTTTACATTTTAGCAGTGACTCAAAGGGAAGCAAACAATAGGATATACATTCTATAACTGGGCCTAAGTCTAATCATGATGCGGGTGTGTTCTTTTTGGGGACCCCCCATACTGGTGTTTTGTGAATTGGGTTCCCTTGAAAACCACTCGCGTCAAGAAAGGAAACACCCATATGTTTGCCAACAAAAAGGGAACCCCGACCCATGCGTTCTGCCCACGTCCCCTTATTTATTTCGAGTCAAGGTGTTTGTTGTTGACGGTTGATGCTGCTTTCTAAGGAGGATTTTGAGGGGTCATGTCGACTTCCAGGTGCTTGCAATAGTTGGATTGATTGCGGCCGTAGGCGTTTTGGACGGAATTATTTGAACCTCTTATGAAGCAATCAGCTTTTGTTAATCCTGAGTTCCTATTCTAGGTCTGCCAGTAGTGCCCTTTTACCCTTTTTTGGGGCAGGATTCCCCTACTAAAATAGACTACAGATAAAAGGGCACCCTGATTCTAACCTCTCTACCGGAGGACCTAGTATTAGTTTTTGATGTTTCGCATAATGACTCCGCTTTCTTCATCCCCCAATGTGAGATGCAAACAGGGGGCTGGTGCTCGAAACGAGGTGCAATCAAATAGCTCGACCTGGCAACTTTCGTCTGGAATGGGAACACTTGTGGGAAGGTGACAAAGGGGTCAACAATTCGGAATTGAAATGGAACATGATTCCAGCCCCGGGCCACTTTGACAGGTCTGTCATGCTCTAGAGTAAACAGTGAGATGCTGCGGGTTTTCTTCGTGGATGTGAGTAGACACATTTGGCCCCTCTAATTGATGCGGCAGTCGGTCGGAAGCTGCCTGCTTGTTCATTTCAGGTGGGTCCAAAGGTGATTCGCAAAGCTGCATTTCTGAGGGTTGTTGATCGAAATTGACTAACCCCCGAGATTTTGCTGCCATGCGACTCAGACAAATTGCCATATTACAAATCTGGGCAACGATGCGAGGCCTGTCTCACAAACTCAGGGCCAGAGACAGCACATTGGTGGCTCCGGCCATCCTTTTTAGCCTTTTAGCTTTTTAGTGTTTCGTGGTAGTTTCCATTTAGCCCACCAAAAGTTAAACTTTTAGCGGGGGATCTGAGGGCAGGAACTGAAACTAATTCAGATGGGCATCAATCAACTGCCAAGCGGCTCCTGTGGTCGATTGTGCATACTTGGGGCTGACTTTCCACGGTGTTGACCTCCCATTTATGGTCGCGCCGGCTGAAGCATCGTGGATATCAAATGATAGATTGTGTTTTCTTACCCAAGCAACTTGAACAAGGTGTCCATTGTCTGCGAGTGATAAGGAGACAGGCCTGAAGTTGGGTGCATTCCCAATTGGTGGGGAGAATGTGAGCAATACGCTGTCGTAAGGGAGCACTCCCTGCGCAATCAAACGTGCCTAGGACCCAGCCGAAAAGCCCACTGAAATCAATGCATTGGAGCTGTCTCAGCTTCTTGGGTGCTGAATCGCATCCAAAGTGCTGTTGCTGTACTCCCGCAAGGAACCCCACCACCAGGAAATATAGATTCATGAATGGTACGTTCTGTTTTGTTCCAACCACTTGTTGAACCAATAATCATAAGTTGATGAATGACACTGTGTGTGTTGTTTCAACCACCAGGAAATATAGATCGATGAATGACACATGTTTTGTTTCAACCACTTGTTCACCAGACCCCTTTTGCCTCCGGTGAGGTGGTGCCTATGGCTGGCCAGCTGTTGCTGCCCACCTGCCTCTGGCTCACCGTGGCCGCGGCGCTGGTTGCGGACACCTGGCGGCTGAACAACTCCGACGGCAGCGAGCCGCTGTTTCCCTACCGCGGCGGTTCGCGGACACGGTTTTGGTTTGCGGAGTGAAAAATGAGCAATGCTTTTTAGTGTGTTTTGCCAAGTTGGATGTTAGGACTTCAACTTTTTGGTTCAAGGAGTGAAAAACGACCGGTCTTCTTTGGGAAACTGAGCTAAACCTGGGCCAGAAACAAACAGATTTTGTTTTGGGGGGGAGGTAGACCACATCATTACTTTGGCGCATGTTGCCAAGGGACTTTAACTTTTTGCCAACTGATGGGTTTTCCGTGCTAAACCGCGAAAAGTTAAACTATTAGCAGGGGAGCAGAGAGCAACCGAGAATGGATGGCGTCTTGCAGGGTGTCCCGCAGAAGTTGCAAAAGGGTGCGCTAGGAAAGAACAGCAGGGAGTCCTCAGCGCTACTAGGTGTATGAATTTGTGGCTCATGAAACGTTTGCTGGTGCCGCACAGGGCAAGGGAATTTCAAGGGCAGAACACGGGCCTCGATGCTGAAGTAAGCTGATACATGTTTCCGAGGATTTACACAAACCTGGTGAGTTCTGCCCATTCCTTGTCGAGCGAAATGCACTCAGGGGAAAGACCATGGCCCAGAAACGGAACGTAGAACATAGAGCTTTCATGGGGCATGTGGCTTGCTAATTGTTGAGATCTTGCCTTATACCTAGGTCCCCCAGTAGTGCCCTTTTACCCTTTTTTGGGGGAGGGTTCCCCCACTAAAATAGACTACAGAAAAAAATGGTACCGTTGTTCTAACCTCTCTACTGGAGGACCTAGATACCCTTGCTTCATGTCTCTCCGCATTAGATCGCAGATTTTCCGTCACGCCCGACGGCGCATGCTCATCTGGCGGTGACGGAGTCTCGCCGCTCGGTGCACTTCCAAAGACAGGAGCGCGGAGAGAAAAAGAAGGCGAGCGCAGACTCGGAGTTCCGCCATGTCTCATCCCAGCCATCCTTTTTAGCCTTTTAGCTTTTTGGTGTTTCGTGGTAGTTTCCATTTAACCCACTAAAAGTTAAACTTTTAGCGGGGGATCTGAGGGCAGCCCAGACCAAGGAACCCTGTGTTCAATGTCAATTTGTGTGGGCAGTCACATTGAAGAGAGCCGCTTCAGAGTTGTCAAGGTAACGGAAACATGTCCATTGCGTAGCCGGTTGCCTGGTACCAAGCAGCTTTAACACCTTCTTCCAAACTAGTGGTCCAAGCTGGTGGCTAGAGATTGAGGGCGGCTTGCTGCACAATGTGTTTGAGAGCTTGGGTTTTGAGTCTCCTTTCTCAGCTGTTTACCACTTTCTGAGCTCATCTCGTTGAACGTGTGTGTGTGTGTGTGAGGTCCTTCGGGTGGTTTTTTTTGGGCTTCAAGGAGTATCCCCAGCCCCAGACCATCTCTAGAACCTGGAACCGTCCAGGTCCAGCTTTGGGACGTCCCAAAGCTGGCAGCTGGGGAAAAACCGTCACAGGCGTCCCTTTGGGCGTCCCTTTGGGAAACAAAAAGAAAGAGATTAGATGGTTATAACGGTAGAGTCAGATAGAAAGATTAGACAGATAGATTGGCTTAGATTCGATTCCAAGTAGACTCCAAATCTGAGCATGCCATCGATCCGAAGCCGAGCGATCTTGTCCTTGGAACACTACTCTCAGAGGCCAAGGAAATCCTAATTGGTTGCTTCCATTTGGCCTTTTGTGTCTAGCCCGGCGAAGGAACACGCTGAACTCTAGCCTTTGAGTTATATCTAGTTGAATTCTGACGACCACACACGACCGAATTCACCCCAAATGGTGGTTTATGTGGGGAATAGCCTTTCCAATCACCTTATTTCAGGTTGGAGAAATATTATAATTCACCCAATTTATATTTTTACATGACATCAAATGGGTACTGGCCAGCTGTGTCTATGGATTTTGTCTCTAAGTTCTCAAGGCTGCCCCCAAAAGCGGGGGTTTTCCTTTGGGTCGCCCTCCTAAACTTGGCAAAAAGGCTACAAGCAGGCCAAGGAAAGTCGATGAAAAACCCGCAAAGGTGCACCAAACGGCACGTTTTCCCATCATGGTAAGTCTACTTTGCCGCAGGCCTCCCCTCCTTCTCTCCCGGATCTGGTCTCCTATCAGCACCTGCTCGACGCGGCCGCCGCCGCGCAACATGAGGAGGCTGTGGCCGCGCACTCGGAGACGAGCTCGGTCCGAGCGGCGCTCGGTCACGCCAGCAGATGGGGTTGATCAATACAACTTCCCCCATTCAGTGGTTGTAATATCATATTTCTTGTAGTTTCCCCAATGGTCATCCCATGTAAAGGACAGATTGATCAGCCCCCACATCACATGTAGATTTGATACTTTGAGTCCTTGTTTCAGGTTTTCAAGGTGTTTTGTCCATATTTGTTCTTTGATACTTGTGTGCCTGGTTTTCAGGCCTTTCTTCGTTGTGTCGTTTAGCTCAACCGGTTGTGTCGTTTAGCTCAACAGGATCGTGGGCCCTTTTTGCGGACCACACGTTTTAACTTGTGTGTTTCTTTGAACCAAGCAGGGGCCTCTTCACGAAAATTGCTGGGCCGAGCGGAGGAACCCCCAGACACCCTGCATGCGCGTGTTGTTGTGGTTTCCGGATGTTATGCAAACACTCACAATCGTTGCAACACTACAATTGGTACACATACGTGATACTGCATGCGAAATATACTTCGAAGCGCTTCTAGGCACTAAGTGCCCCAGCCCGTACGTCAGCTGCTATCCCCCACTACCCCCTACAAACATTGGACGACACGTGCGGAAATAGTCACATGAATACATGTGTATAGTTGTCTATGCGAAATGATATTTTTGTACAATGCATACGTGAGTGCTCACATGTGAAATATATTTAATTCCTTGGGGCTAAGGAAGGGCTTCGATGTGCCCTGCACCACATCGTCCCCGCAAGGTGAAGGGACGAAAGGCCCTTGCTTTCCCTTGGCTTAGCCCAGTTGCAAGCCCAATCTGCAATCAACAACGGAACACAAACGAAATCCCGCACATGAAAAAACACACAATATGTTTCTTCCTGGCGCTCCCCTCCAGAGATTGGGTCTTTGGAAGGTATATGAAGGTATATAAGCCCAACTGGGCAATTGACAAACATCCTGCACCACTCCCACTTGTCATCGTTCAATGGGGGGTCTTTCTGGCTGAGTTGTTCCCCGCCAGGGTGCCTAGCTTTGGTGTAGCATGAGCAACTCGCTTTGGTGTTAGTTCTTAACGTTTCCTGTTGCACCTCTCTGCAGTTTTGATCAGTGAGCCGAGGCCAAAATTGGGCGTTTGTTGCCGTGCTTTCAAAGCACAGGAGCTTGGCTTCTCTTAAGCAATCCGCTGGATACATTGCGGGTTTTCGGCTCGGATGCGATCCCCTGTACAAGGGAATCCAAGATTCACAAATAGTCGATGAATAGGAGGTCCTATTTTAGTTTGGTTTCCCGGTAAGAATTGCGGAGAACCGGATTGGCCAACCTCCATTTGAAGAGCATGGTTACGGAAAATATGATTTTAGGGCCAGTCCCTGAGCTACCAAAGGAAATGTCACTCAAAATGACAAGGTCATGGAGTTCCCACGTTGGCATAGCAGAACAAATACAACCAATGGTTCCCCCCTTATTTTTCATGGGTTCCCCCCTTATTTTCTACAACCAATTCAAAACGCGGAGTCTAAGGCTGGGGTGCTGCAAGAGATGCGCACCCTGCGATTGGCGCCTGACGTCATCACCTACACCAACCTTATCCACAGCTCCGCCCGCACCGGGGCCAAGGAAATCCGAGATATGGGGGGTGTCGTTTTTGAGGGCGGTGTTTTTTTTTGGGGCCCAAGGAAAGTGGTTCACTCTAACTGACTGCTAGGCTGTGTCAAGAAAGAAATTCGTTTGGGTCACGGGCGTGACATCCCGTGACCTCCCGTGACCCCTTTCTTTCGGAAGCTCAACGCTTGCGGCTGAAGGCATGGCTTTTGCGGATCAATTCTTGGTGGTGCCCGAAGGCCATCCGGTGCAGAAAGCGTTTTTTGGATCCTTTTGGTGTTTTGTGGGGGATTTCCGTATTTAACCCACTAAAAGTTAGTCACTTTTGGCGGGGGATCTGAGGACAGCCCAGTATTGGATGTAGCATCAGTGGTTGAACCATGCGACATGGCTCCAATTCCCACTGGCGCCGAGGTCATGGCGATGACACGGCGAAGAGGTGGCTGCAAAGCATGGCACGGCCCTTGATCGAGCCGTTGCTTCGGCAACGGTCACGCAACTGATGCAAGTGCCATGGCTTCCATTTGTTTAAGAATATGTGTTGTTTTTCTTTTGTTTGTTTCAAAAGGAATCGATCACTACTGGACTTTTTTTTTTCCGGGGGGCTTAAGCAAATGGAAGATGGTGTGAGCTTCTTGTATAGTTGGATGGCCCCATGCGTTTCGCTTTAGGCGACGACCCTGCACTAATGTATCGGATTCCACGTCCACCGAATCAATGTCCACCGCAGCATACTTTGGCCGCTTCTGATGGTTCCGCACAGCTTTGCGTTTCTCAAATGCCGCGGGAAAGCCCTTTCTTTGCTTTCCTGAGCAGCTGAGCTTTCGGTTCGCGAAGCGACAAGGGGAGGGGGCAAACGCCCATTGCAGCAAGCATAGGTCAATGGGCTCATGTGGACCACTGGCCACGCCCGTTTGGTAGGCTCAGCCTTGCACATCGCAACTCGACCACGCGAAACCCAGCCTGAACACCCTCACGACTGCCTGCACAGCGTGGGCCGCTGCTGAGTAGGCCCTCCCATTGCCGACAGCCGGAAACCATTTGCCCTACGATATGTGCATCCCACCACATCCATTTGACAGGTACAAGGTAGACAATGTATCCATGAAAAGGCCTGCAGAGTCTTGCAGCATGGCTTTGATTGCCAGAGGCATCCCTGTTCCGTGCCAGAAGCCTTGGACATAGTTTGCTCTTCAGATGTGGCTCGCCATGCCATATCCTGGCACTCGAAATCAATGCTTGCTGCTGGTTTCCTTTAGGTGGCGTCCCGCGGATGACAGATGAGGATTGCTACGCCGATATCCAGCAGTTGCTGTAATTGCTTGCATAGGTTTTTTGCAAATTCAACATGCCATGACCCCGCGTCAAAAGTCGGGAACAGGAAAGAAGTCCTCTGGGGATCCCTTATGTTGTGTTTGATGATCGTAATTCACCCAGACGTGTGGAGCAACACTGCCCGGATTGAAAGTTTGCGCCCCAGAGATCGATCCTCCCCTCAGCCGCAGAATCCCTTTCTTTGTTGGCTCATCCAGCCTATACCATCTATGTTCTTCAGTGGTGCCCTTTTACCCTACTCAAGTATACCCTTCTAACCTCACTGGAGGACCTAGCATGGAACCCAAGTCCCTCTTGTTCCATGGGTTCCTCTCAGGTGGAGGACTCTGTTCAGCCGAGTCTGGTGACCTCCAACGTGGTCCTCTCCTCCCTTGTGAGGCGCGCGGGGAGTCTTTTTTTTCTGGGCAGAACCAGACGCATTCCCTGCCTTCCATGCCCGGGGGAGGGGGAACCCTGTGATTTGGAAGGAGGAGACATGTTGTGATTTGCGCAGTTTCTTGGGGGTTTTATGTTTGGACGTGGTGGGTGAACCTCATTTTTGGGGGAAGCCAAGGTTCCAAGCCGGACCGGATCGCTCCATTTCCGCGGGTCCCGCGGGTTCGGAGATGGAGTGTTGGTCGTTTTCTGATGAGACGGCGGCCTTGCGAGCTTGATGGTGAGCATTGCCAGCGGCTCTTTGTCAGCTGCTGTACTGTGATTTCCAATCTGTCAAGTTAACGCAGCCACAAGCATTGCAACTCACCGCATAGCTGAACCTTTCCCCAAATGTTGGGAATAACTAATGAGTCCAGCCTCATTTCTTGCATTCGACCCCGAATAACACCTCGTGCACTGACCCCGGCTGTGTGAAAGCGACGGAAAAGGACACGAAAAATGTCTTCGGTCGTCTTTCTGGGGACCGTTCGGGTTTCCCAACTTCGATTTCGGGCGTGTCTTCTGTTCAGGTCGGGGGTTCGCCGGATTGGGCCCGTCGGATTGGGGCCGCCTTTTAAGCAAAGTGATAGGGATCCCAATCGTGGCGCAAATGATCCCTCCACCTTCAGGGGTACCGAACTTGGGGATTTGTGCGTGCTGGGAATTCGAGATTCGGAAGTCCTAAGCCCCGTGTTGGGATTTGCTTCTTTATGCGAGACTATTGGCATTTCCGTAGTTAGTTCTGCGGTTTGCGCAGGCAAAGTGAGTGCCAGCGTGCGGAGCCTGGGGCCCGGGCGCGTCCGAGAGTCCGAGGCCAAATGCGTCCGTTCCAACGGATGGATTGGGTCCATTCGAATGGAGACTCGGTCGTTAAGTGAGTCAAGACACAACCAGCCCCCACGCGTTGGAGCAGCCCAGCTCCAATAAAGATGCGCTTTTGCTGCGTGATGCGCTTTTGCCAGCGTGCAACCTTTGGTCATCCAACTTCAACCTAGCATTTGGAGCATGTTGGGCTTGTCTGTGTGAGGCATGATACACCGGAGACCGCAAAGGAGACACTTGCATCGAGTTGATTGAATCCTGATTTGCTCCAAACATGAGGGCCGTAGGACTTCAAAAGGCTGGCGGTTGGTCCAATTCCAGGCACATTTGTTTTGAACACCCCCCCCCATTTAGATTCAGAGTGATGGTGTGTTGTTGTCCATCATGTCCAACTCTTGAAGATGTTGCATCTGAATTCGGGTTGGGCCGAGCTTCTGTTGAACTGCACCGTCGGATGCTGACCAGAGGGGAAGTGAGACGTGTATGCGGGGTTAGCATGTTGGGTGTCCAAATTGTTTGTCACTACTACTGCATCAGAAACAGTTCAAGCATTGGAACATACCTCGCGCCATCTCGTACTTGAATGAATTAGTTTGTGAATCCCTGCAATCTTTGTTTTATACCTCAGTTGTAGGCAGCACATACGCTCGACTGGTTTCGAAAGCCTTGACCCATACCACCAATGACTCACCGATACCCGGATTGAACGAAAACTCAGAGGGGCCATAAGGGCGGTGCGGTGCTTCCCCTCATCCCAAACACCAGGGGCTCAGCAAGACGCAGACTCGGGACTGTTCGGCACTTTTCTCACCTCATGGCCTGGGTTTCAGGGCCCTGTGGCCCTCAATTTGTCTTGCTGCTCCGAGAAATGGAATGACCCTTGTCAGCCATCCAACTTCTGGTTTCCTAGACCCCTGGGTTCAGCCCCCCACATTCCCTACTTATCGCACCAGCAAGTTGTTAAATGGCTGTGGGTCAACACCAATGGTACCATTTTGGGGTAGGTACACCACCCATTTTACTCTATTTTAGTGGGGATTGGGATGTTCACTGAGGGTACGGGTTTTTGACCCATGGCCAAATGGCTCATTTTGTTGCACGCGTGATCTCGAGGCAGTGGCTTGGTCGGTTTCAGGAGAGCTTCCTGCAGACGGGAGGCCCAGTCAGTCACGTCGGAGGTTGGCCTCGCGGAGATCGGAAGTCGAGATACGGGTGTGACTCAAAATTCAGAAGCTAGGGTTACACAGTTTGTAGTCCTTGGTTCCATTTACCAAGGTGCCGTTTTGGTACATTTTTGTGAGCCAAAGCCATATATTTGAAAACCAAACGGGCACTCCATGGAAAACCTGTGAGGGCCTTTTCTCAGACATTTCGGCATGGCCGCTGAGGCAAAAGCAAACCCTCCAATAACAACAAAAATCGCTTCCCGGCCTTCTGTCCAGTTCGATTGTATAACGGGCCTTTCGTCAGATTACCCGGAGGACTGTCCTCGAGTAAATCTTGCCGTGGCACAGTTACCTGAAATGCTATATGCCGTTCATCCAGTCTATTTGTCTTAAAGTACGTAGCTGCTGCACAGGTGTGAACAAGCTGTACAAAGGCTGCATCCACATCACCTTATTCGGATTTGGACACGCGCATAGAGTTAGACAAAGTCCAAGCCGATCTTGATTCAAGCCAGCTAACAAGGTCCGCAGCCATAGCGTTCTTCACCTGCACTCATGAGGGATTCTCGATCATAGTGATTTTCTCCAGGCCCATATTCATGCAAGGCTGGTGGGACGGGGCTGTCTATGGATCACAGCAAGCCACACTTGGTGTAAGCCTGGAGTTTGGTGTCGCTTTTCGAGTCACACTGCGATGTGAAGCGAATGAATGAGGTCATGTTTGACCCCAAAAACGAAGAATTGGCGACGATTGGCGAGCCTCGCGTTTCCGTTCAAGTCATCCGTTCAGACCAAATTGCAGGTAGATGTGCGGTGTCAAGCAGAAAGAGTTTGACGCACTGGGCACAGTTAGCTTTGTCTTGCCTTGCCCGAGGCCCGATGTCGCCTCTTACACCATGTGAGGGCCTCGAGAAGTGTTGGCCGACCAAACAATGTCTCCTTCATGTCACCTCCTTGGCTGATGTACAATTTCGCACAAATTCAAAATGGAGGGTTCACGGAAAGTCCTTGGAAGCATGCACTGGCATGTCCTTCTTGTTTGTTTGCTGTATGCTTTCGTTTTTCTAGCCTAGCTGCTGCGTGGATGGTAGCTGACCTCGGGCAATTGAAGTTATGGCACTCCATCTCCACGGATGTGCACGTTTTCGTTTGTTTGTTCCCCACCCGACAGGAAGGGGTTGTTAGATTGGAATCCGCGTTTGCGATGCTTCAACACCACGCCCCCACCCAGTATCCCGCCAGAGCAGCTCGCCAGTGGATCCCGCCGAGTATCCTGCCAGAGCAGCTCGCCAGTGGATCCCGCCCAGTATCCCGCCGAGTATCCCGCCAGAGCGGCTCGCCAGGGGATGACCGCCAGAGCGGCTTGCCAGTGGATCCGATCCCGCCAAGTATCCCACCAGAGCAGCCCGCCAGTAGATCCCGCCGAGTATCCCGCCAGAGTAGCTCGCCAGTCAATCCCGCCGAGTGTCCCACCAGAGCAGCCCGCCAGCGGATCCCGCCGAGTATCCCGCTGACTGTCCCAGAGTAGCTCGCCAGTGAATCCCGCCAAGTATCCCGCCAGAGTAGCTCGCCAGTCAATCCCGCCGAGTATCCCACCACAGCAGCCCGCCAGTGGATCCCGCCGAGCATCCCGCTGAGTATCCCAGAGTAGCTCGCCAGCGGATCCCGCTGAGTATCCCTTGCCGGTAGATCCCGCCGAGTATCCGGCCAGTATCGAGCCGGAGCGGGTCGCCAGCATTCGCCAGTGGATCCCGCCAGTATCCCGCCAGAGCAGCTTGCCAGCCTGGTTTTGCTTAATTTTCCTCCTTCGCACAGTTGGGTTTACATTTCATGTTGGTGCCTTCGTGTTTTAATTGTACCCTAAGGCTCGGAAAGGGTGATGCTTTTGTGTTGCTTTGGGTTGTGAATAAGCAGCTTCGTTTTATCCCCCGGCGGGTTTCTTTTTGGAAGGGGCTTGGCTTTTGTTCACGGAAGTTTGAGTTCTCAAGATCGGCTCGCAGACAAGTGGATTTTGAGACACACAGATGGATAAGGCTCTCAATGCAAAGCTTGATGAGCAGTCAAAGGCCCCAAGCCATTCGAAAATCATGCTTGAATTCACACAACCGTGTTCACGGTCGTAAGCTCGTGAGTGTGGAGGGTGGGGATTGCTCGAAGCTAAGTATGTTTTTTTTTGGGGGGGGAGATTGGGATAGCTGAAGCAGTCGAAGCCGCCTGCATCAGGCTGCAATGGTGGTAACACAAGTAACATGAGTGGAGTGAGTTGTTCACCCAAGAGGACTGCAGACTTCAGAAGCAATCCCCAAACCTTCATGTTATTTTTCCTTGGTTTTACAAGAGATCTATCACTACTGAATTATAACGACCTCACACGACCGAATTCACCCCAAATGGTGGTTTATGTGGGGAGTGGCCCCAACGCCTCAGCCTTGGCCTTCTTCGCCGCCCGGGTCGCGGCGGCCTTGGCTGCCTTGCTGGCCTTCTTGGCCGCGTCCGCTTCCGCCATCGCTTGGGCGCGCTGCTCTCTTGCAGTCTGGCAGGCGGCTTGGTCGGCGCGCCTCTGCCGGTGTGTGCTTGCACCACCTTGTTTCAGGTTGGAGAAATACCTGCATGTGCAAATTATTGCTGTTTTGTCAAAAAATGTCTTTTGACCCAACGGCGATTGTTTTCGCCTGCCGGCAGTTTTCAGTGTTTGCACACTCTAGCATCAATCAAAATTGCAAAACGGCGTAAGTTGCCGTCAAAACGGCGTAGTTTGCCGGCGAAACGGCGTTTTGTTTTGCCTGGTTCCGAGCTGGACTCACGGCGAGCGTGTTTTCTCCGAAAGAGCGTTTTTTCAGCAACCGGCGAAAATTATTGGTGTTTTGGGAAACGGCGTTAACGTTACATGTCGGAAGGTCCAGGTATGGTAATTCAGATGTTTTTTCCAGTCAGAAGCCTCCCCCAAAACCAATTGCCTCTTGGACTTCGCCCAGCCCCAGGCTGATGAAGGGCTATGCGCGCCATGGCGTGGCAGCGCAATGCCCAGAGTCGGCGTCAACACAGCTGCCCCTTGTTGAATCCTCGGGGTTCAAAATCCCGAAGGTTTGACAAGGGGAGTTGTTCCATTGGGGAAATGTAGGAACCTGACAAGGGCAGCTTTTCCTTTAGGAGAAAAAATAGGGAACCCTGAGATGCTCGCCTTTTTGGGACACTCTCAGTTTGTGTCGCCGTTGTAGTTGCAGGTGCCACCAGACAAGCCCCGAATTCTTTGACACCCTGTGGCTGGAATGCATGTCAGCCCGGCTTCCGAGGCAAAGATTTCTTGGGGATGGTCCTAGCACAAAGCTGCCTTCACCATTCGTGCGTTTGGGAAATCTTCCGTTGCGTGCAGGGGGTCTTGGAATCGGCGAGCTGAGGAGAAGGTGCTGCATTTGCTTGAACAGATGCTCCATGCTCGTGCGCTGGGCTTGGACTCGCCAGTGGGATATGGGTTCAGATTGGCGAGCTTCGCATATCATTTCCATGGAATGATCGTGTACGTGCGTATCCAAAACGATACCAAAACGAAACCCCCGGAACTGTAGCTGTCGCCGAGCGCGATGGATGACCAATTTCTTAGCTTGTCGCTTGTCGCCGCTTTCCTGCCTCCTTTGTCAGTGTCCTGCTGCTCCGCTTTCTGCGTTTGCTTGTCCAATTGCTCGTTCTGCTCCCTTGTCCATCCTCGTTCCATTCCTATGCTATTTCTTGCTTTCTGCTCCAGCTCTTCCTCTTGGCTTGCTTTACTATTTTTTGCGGAAACCTACGTGTGTTTAGACACGTACCAAAAAGTGTGGTTTTACCACGGAAGATTCGCGGAAAGGCGAGGCGAAAGGTCGTTTTTCGAGCAAGGAATATTGGACAATCCTCATATATTTGATTTTATATGTAATACATATATATATATATAATATATATATATATATATTGTATGCAAGGTAGATAGAGTGCTTGTGTCAGTACATAATCTCTTTTCAGCCCCCTGTAGGGCAGCGCAGTTGAGGCATTTAGGTCCAAATCAGTGAGATGGAGTTGGTATCCACCCAAACTGGCAGCTCCACTGAGGTGGAGCCAGACTGGGAGACCTGGAAAGTCTGTTCAGAGGCACGGCGCATGCCGCGATGTCGCGAGCGGAAAGCATCTCGGAGTTGCCACTCACTCAATGCTCGAGTTGTTCGAGCCACATGACCATGAATTTTATTAGGGAGCCACCTCAAAAGTGATGAGTGGACATGAATCCCCACCTAAACGATGTCAAAAAATCATAGCCACATGGCTCTACGGCCGCAAGTCTGGCATCCGCTTTTGGCAATGGGCAGACTTTAGTTGCCACACGGTGTGCGGCATGATCGCGTGGGTATCGTTGGCAGTTTGCATCCAGAACTCTGGAAAAGTCGGGTGGGCTCTGTGCGTGTCATGACACCTCCGGCTACTCCAGGTGGAGCAATGGGCCGAAGCCTCAGAATGGTTAATGCAAGCTTGCATTCCCTGCAACTTCCGAAACTATCGTTCCGAGAAATACCGCAGACCTCATTCAGTATTGCACATGTCTCACTTGGGGAGATCAGCGGTCGGACTTGCAGGACGTCGGCGCTTCTGCTTGCTGTATTCACGCATCATAGCTTCGGATTGGAGGACTTAAGACTTTGACACGACGCCAGTTGAGTGAACCCGAAATGTAGGATAAGTTCTTTGTGGGCAGCGGCTGAAAATTTCAGTTGATGTACAATGTTGAGTCTCCACTAGCCCTGCAGCTGGTTACAAAACATCTTGCGAAAGATGAAGTATCGTTCCCGTGCAACCCGCAAGCTCTTGCAAGAGGTTTGATGTGAAGGAACGAAATGCTCGCGAGTTCCAGAGGCCTTCGATCCTGGGAGTCCGGACGCTCGCGCGGAAGAGAACATTTGGCGAACATTTCTTCGCTGGAAAACACGGAATAGGGTGTTGTAATATTATTGAACATATCCAGTACATTTTTGTTTTTTTACTTAGGACTGATAAATCGAATAAAGTAAAATATTGAAACATCTGTTGATTGGTATGTTAAGAAAACCATGTATGTTGTCTAGGGTTTGGAATATTTTGAACATTTGGTAAATATTTGATAAAGAAATTATATGTGTACTTGTGATGGAATATTAAGTTTTGGTTATTGAAAGAAATTATTTTGTATTGTGTTTGTTGATTTTGTTTTTGGTAGTTGGGTGTATTTTGATATGTATTGAAAAGGATTGGATTGATTGATTGATTATTAGTTTATTTTTGTGATTAGGTATTTATTTATATTTATTTGGCTTAGGAATTTGAATATTATTAATTTTTGGGGAATAATAATGTTGAATTAAATACGAGTTTATTTGGAAAGGAATTGATTATTTGTAAAATATTTAGAAGTTGATATTATAATATATTATAATATATTATAGTTATATTTTTGTTTAGGTTTAGGTTTGATTTGTGGTTTGGGGGGTATTTGTTGATATGTAATTTTTAATTTATTTTTATTAAATTGGTTGATAAATAATAATTAATGATATTTTAGATTTAAGATATAGAAATAATTGGTTTATAACATATTATATTATTGGAAAATTATGTTATATATTGTATTATATTAATGTCTATTATTGTTTTTAATATTTTTTGAATGTTAATTGGAAATTGAATTTTGATTTAGATTATTTTTGAATTGAATATTATTGATATTTTATTTGATATATGATATTTAGAAATATTGATTTCTATTTGGAAATATATATATATTATTAATATTGTTTGGATAGAACATTTTATATACATATAATTTATAGTTATATATATATATATTATTTTTTTTTACTCGATAGAATAGGATTTATAGATTTTATTTTTATCGAATATTTTATTATAATGATTCGCTAATGGGTGTTCCTTAATATTTTGTTAGAATATTTTGCTAATGGATATTGTTAGGTATCTCGATTAGAATAATTCGTTAGAATATCGATAGAATCTTATTGAATATTTAATGGGTTCCGTTGAATATTAGATTTATTTATTTTTTTTCGAATATCTTATTAACTATTTCTTGCTGGTGGATCTAATCGAATATCTTTCATTAATGGATATAATAATATCTCGTTAGAGTAATTTGTTAATTTGGTTTTGCTTACTATTCCGCTCGGCGTGCAGTTGGGTTGATATTTTATCTTGGTGCTTTCGTGTTTTGAGTGTATCTTGAGGTTCGGAAAGGGTAATGATTTTGTTTGGAAACGATTTGGTTTTTATTAACGGCAACGATATTTGAGTTCTCGAGATCGGGTCGCAGATAAATGGAATTTGGCATACAGATAGGTGGATAAGGCGCTCAATGCAAAGCATATTAAAATAATTATAGGCCCCAAGCCACTCAAAAATTATCTTAAATTCATAAAATTGTGTTCATGGTCTTATGAAGGATAGGAATAACTCGAAACAAAATTTATTTAAATATTCTTTATAAATTTAATTTTGATTATTTATTTATATACAAGATGCGATATATAGATATGGAATTTATAAATTCGTTGAATTCCATAAATAATTCATTACGAATTAATATAATTATCGAATTATACATATATATGGAATTAAATATATTAGGATTAAATATATATATATATATTTAAATTGAAAATTATATTTATATTATCATAAATTAATATAATTTAATAATTTAAATTGAATAAATTTAATAAAAACATAATTTTCATTATATTAATATATTTGTTTAATTATATTATATAATTAAATAATTTAAGAATTTATATATTTATTATATAATATATTATATGTAATATATAAACTTATTTATATTATATTTAACATAAATTTTATATGATTTATAAGTTTCTATCAATTATATTATATATATAATTATTTTAATTTTTAATTTATTATAAACCGAATAATCAATTTATCAAATTAAATTAAATATCAAATCAATATTATTCCATACCAAATCAAAATATATAGAATATATTAAACAATATACTTCGTTTCGAGTAATCCCCACCCTCCACACTCCAAGCTTGCGATCGTGAACACGATTGTGTGAATTCAAGCATGATTTTCGATTGGCTTGGGGCCTATAACTGCTCAGTAAGCTTTGCATTGAGAGCCTTGTCCACCTGTCTATATGTTAAAACCCATTTATCTACGAATCGATTTCGAGAATTCAAATATCGATTCTATTTATAAAAATCAAACCCCTTCCAAAAAGAAATCCGATAATTCGTAACCCAAAAACACATCAAATATCACCCTTTCCTAGCCTTAAGATCACTCAAAACACAAAGACACCAACATAAAACATAAATCCAATTGTAAACCCAACGCGCCGGGTGGAGCAAAACCAAACTAACGAGCTATTCTAGCGGGATAACGAATATCAACGGGCCGTTCCGATGCAATACTGGCCGAATACTCGGCAAAATCCATCGACGAAGGATTTTCAGCAAGATACTTAGCGGGATCCATTAACGAACCGCTCTAGAATATTTAACGAAGTATTTGGCGGGATCCACTAATGGGCTATTTTGGTGGGATATTCGGCGGGATCCATAAGTGGGCTATTCTAGTGGGATATTCGACGAGATCCATTAATAAATCGTGCTAGCGTAATAATCGACTAACAAACCATTTTAATGGGATACTTAACGAAATCACTAACAAATAACTCTAACGAAATATTAAACGAAATCCATTAATCAAATATTCTAATAAAATATTAAATTCCAATAACATATAATTCTAACAAGATTTATTTATCTCTCTCTCTTTCTCTATATATATATATCTATTTATTTATCTATCTATTATTTATATATCTATCTATTTTATATTCTATCTATTTCTCTCTCTATTTATCTATCTTTCTTTCTATCTCTATCTATTTATTTATCTCTCTCTTTATTTATCTATCTTTTTTTTTCTATCTATCTATCTATCTTTTTATCTCTCTCTCTTTATCTAATTATCTATCTATCTATCTCTATCTATCTATTTATCTTTTTACCTATCTATTTATCTCTCTCTCTCTCTTTTTGCATTTATCTCTCTAATTATCTCTTTATTTACCTTGCAAAAATAGACTTCGTATACTACTTTCGTATTTAAAATTGCGATTTTAGAATCATAACTATAAAAATTAAGTTCATCTATTATTTTTATATTAAAGAATTATGTTTTTCGAACCCCGACTACGAAAAAGAATCTTACGAATTTTGTGAAAGTGCTATAACTATCACTACAAAAATGTTATGCCTACCACGAAATCTGCATCCAACCTTGCCAAAATGCTATGCCTACCATACATTCTACATTTAACCTTGCGAACATATTACACTAACCAAAATGCTATACCTACTACAAAATCTTTACTTAACAAAACCAAACAAAACAATTAAAACATATCCAAATTCACAAATATTCATAAATTAAACACATATCATATTATTTAATAAATACTATCATTCCATATTCAATATTATAAATATCCCATATATATATATATATTAAAATATCAATATAATAATACAAATATGATATTCAATATATTAAATTCAATATAAATATATATATATATATTCCAATCAATATAAATATTCAATACAATTATATAATGTATCTTAAATAATATCAATTCAATCATCTAAATAATCAATATAAATATAACTCCGATTCAAAAATCAAAACGTTTAAATTCAATAAAATATTTGTAAAACAAAATGAAAAAGCCTTTTGCACACGCCTTCGCCAATATTTCGTAGGCGATTAAACCTACAACATAATGGCCCTCTTTTGATCCATCAATTATCAAATGATATATGTTGTATTATTGGCGATTATTATTTGTAGTCGTCTTTGATATATTGATAAATTTGTTGCGGATCTTTCATTTCAGTTGTTAAGCCTCAATCTGCCCATTCAACAGTCATAACACATCGGACTTCGGAATCAACACAAAGATAAACCCATCGTTATCGAGAACCTCCCCCTCATTCAATCAACTGCAAATGCCTTTCACTTTGAGCTCCACCAAGACGGTACCGGTTCGTACAGCCCTCAGGGTACTCCCCATTAGACCGAGTGCACCAGAAAGTGACCAATGGAGGTTCGGTATGGATGAACCAGTTGCAAGCGTGACCCATACAAATGCGCAGCACGACCTTGTAACCCCCTCTCCAACTTCAATGAACCTGCAAAGTATTATGCCTCGCAAGCGGGTTGCTTCTGCCTTCACCATGGGGTCTTGCAGCAATCCAATGTGCCGCCCATCTTGCGGAACTTGCAATGTGGAGGGCTTCAGTGCTGGTCATGAATCCAGTTCAATGTCGCTGGCTCAGGCTCGATGCGCTCATTGCTAAGCTTGCAGCGATACACCGCCACGGATGCTGCGATCCATGGAACCTGCGCATTTCGCTCAAGCAAACACATCTGTTTGGACGCCACAAAATGCGCCTTCGAAACCCTCGACATCAAAGAAGTCTTGGACCTCAATGGTGACCTCAAGGTCTCTTTTTGACGGCAAAAAAGAAGTTTTGGACCTCAAGGGCTGCAGGGCTGCCTTTTTGCTTTTCGATTTGGGCTCCGGAGGGGGGGTCATGAGGGGGAGGGAGGGGACTCGGCATCTTTCTTTTCCCCGCCTGGGATGCCTCGCGCAGGGCGGCGGTGGCTTCCTCATCCTGTCGGAAGCCCAGCGCCTGGCGTGAAGTGACGGACCCTGCCGCGTGGTGATAAAACAGGGATCCTTACAGTGAATACACCTGAACATTGCCTTGTACATGGTGGTTTCCCTTTATTTTGGTGGAAAAAGCCATGTTTCAAATAGGCAAAATGTATCTTTTAAGGAGCCCTGTAAAAAAACTCGAACTTTCTGAGAGCATCCGGGGTGGTCAAAGAGAGGGACCTGGGTCAAAAGGGGCGCCTCGGTTGCCTGCCTTAGGTAACGAAATGGATGCACTGGCGAAGTTTGCTGAAGAACTTGCTGGTGCGATAGGCTGGGCATGATACATGGAATGACCAGGAGAAACGCCATCCATGGTTTCCTTTGGGGGGAATCCCCAAAACCGGTTCATGCCACCCGGAAGGATCGACACTTAGGTCGGTGCGCCATTCTCCAAACCGCGTGCGTCATGGTCATGGTTCCACCGCGAGGACATGAAGACAGGAACCAAGTTGATGACCCTCCCCACCAAGCCAAGCAAAAGGCTGGTGTTCACAGTGGCACGGGCGGATAATCGGATATCTAGCATGGACAACAAGTCAAAGGGTTCAGGGAAACATCCCCTTTGTCTGAACACGTTTCATATTCTGAATGACAATTGGCGTGTTTCGAAGATGTTGATCCCTTCCCCTTATGAATAAGTGCACCGAACAAATAAATATCGCTGTTCCCAAACCGTGGGCCTCAAGCTCCCAGTACCATACCCATACTAGAATTGAAAAAACAAGTCCCTCTTGCCCTTTAAAGTTTGTACTAACAACCAATTCAAAAAGCAGCAACAACTATCAAACACTTCTCCCTTTCAAAGCTTGTGCTTCAATTTGCAAAGTCGCAATCAGGACAAGTTGCAAGGGATGAGTGCATCTATCGTTTGCCCAGCCAATAAGCATTTATTTGCGGGGTGGTATTTACTATTCTTGGTACGCACCCTTTTCACTCCCAAGGCTTCGATAGTGAGCCCTGTTTTCATCTCCTTCGTGCTAAGCTGCCAATCCCAAGTCCTCCTTGTGAGATACCTGCGATTCTGTGTGGTTATCCAACACCTAACGCAACTAACGGTTCAGCGACGGAAAGGGCAAAGCACTCCACTGCAACCGGACGGGATCCATCGGATTGCTCGAGCATGGCAAGAGCTGTCGTGTACCCGCCAAGAAATAGCCCAATGGCAGGAAGCAGACCGCATGCCCTTGGGCAGGGTACGGGTTCAATTTTGTATGGGTCCATCACCCTGTTTGCGTCCAGCCGGTTCCGTGTCCGAAGTTCTCCTCTCGCTCCGAAAAACACGTCTTTTCTCAAATCGGATTGCCTCCACACGGCGTCGAGACTCCTCTAGCTCCTGAGACCCGTCAAGGGTGCAAGGGCGCCGCGCGAGTTTCGAGAAGATAAACCCATCCTGAAGCTCCGCATCTGCTCCATTTATCTGGGCTGCCCTCAGATCCCCAGCTAAAAGTTTAACTTTCAGTGGGTTAAATGGAAACTACCACTAAACACTAAAATGCTAAAAAGCTAAGGGGATGGCTGGGAGTCTGGGAGCCACCAAGTTGTGTCAGTGTTGAGGTGTCCTTTTCCGAGTCTTCTTAGAGGGACATTAAAAGGTTGCGCTTCTGGTTTTTGTTCAACTTGGGAACTTTCACACAGAATCCTTGGTAGTGCAGCGCAACATTCCTCCCGCGAGCCGCTCGGGATTTAGTTTGAGGTCTGAAAGTGGCCTCACTCGGGGTGAAGGTGAAGCACCACACTCGGAGAGGCACGTTGAGTCCTTTGCAAGCCCGTATCCAGTTTGGCCAGCCTTTCTCAAGGGTTCAGGATGACCCTTCAACTCCACATTTTGCGTACGAGGGTTTAGCCCATCTCAACTCTGGTGGTGGTTTTGTTCCCTTTAAATTTGCATTGACGTATCAAACCCTTCCGCGAAGCTTCCGCGCTGTGAACCTTCCGCAGGCAAGTTGCTTCTCGAAACTGAGTGCGTCCGGTTTGCTAGTACACGTGCTTGGCAACAGCCACCCAACCGAAATCTAACTACTATGTGCAAATCAAAAGGGTCCCTTCCGCGAGCTTCCGCGGGAAAAAACCTTCCGCGACTGTAGTGCGGCGCCACATTTTTTGTTGATATGTCAACATCTATACATGTTTGCCTGAGCGAAAAAAATAAACCGCCACTCGGTTGATTCTGAGAACACAAAACGCATCGTTCGACAACTGTGATGAGCAACTCATTTGAATGGATTCTGCATCATGTTAAAACATGATTTCCCAAAAGCAAATGCCATTTTTCAGCTTCTCAAAGTCTACCAACTGAAGTGAGACCGTAACCACCCATGCCATGAAACCCAACCGGCGCGAGGCATACTCAGACAACAGAGTCAGCATACCCAACCAACGGGTACAGTTTGCACATATTTCACGATTGGTCCAGGTAAAAGGCTCCGCTCGATTGTTACTCACTATAGTGTTTCCTCTAAAATGTCTTACCCCTTCAGGTTGATTTGCTTCTGGTGTCCCCTTGCCATCCAAAAAGGGGGGGACCCTTCCTGGGACTCTCTTTTGTGGAGTTGGTACCCCTTTTAGGGTGATCTTCAAGAAAACACCAACAGGAAACTCATCATATGAAGTTTGCGGGGGTGCAACTTCTAACAAGACACACCAACACACGTGGCATGGACCCCCCCCGAAAACAAAAAAAGCACACACGCACACACAAACACACAAGGTGGCATCCTGGAAAAAAACATCGAGTCTGGTCCTGGCAGTTCACATGGCCCTCACCCTCGATGCCCGGAGGAGCCCAGGACCTCCGGACTGCGAGTAAGACGATGAATCATAGCCTCCCACCTTTTTTACAGGGCTCTGATTGTTCCAGGGCAATGCTATGGTTGCGTCAAACCGTTTGTACCCAACTATCTCCCGAAATCACTGTAACCAACTTGCGTTTCTGCTGGCTATGGTGGTCAATCATAGGCTAACCCCGAAATGGCTTGCCCTGGTAAATGGAAACACGGACTAAAACCTGCGGTCCAATTCCTGGTGGTGTAATTTTGACCCATACCCACATGGAAGCAGCATATGGGTCCGCAGCAAAGGGAACGTGACATGGGTCCCTACGATGGAAATGACCTCCCATCCTGTTTTAAGCCTCGGCACCTGACAGGACATGGGTCCCTATGGGCCCCAAGAAAAAGGAACATGGTCCAAACCAGGACACCCCGAACGTCAGGTTCCATGACAATTGGTGGGAGGCTATCTTGGGACCCATGCGTTGAGTTTGCCACCTTTGCGCTGTGAAGGGCACATGAAAACGGCGCAGCTTGTTTTCAAATTAAGGGACCCCCTCAAACATGTTTGGATTCGTGCCGGTCTCCCTTTCAATCAACGCGTCACTTTGCCCCATGAACAAATGCACCGTATTTGTGAGTTCAATATTGTCCAGTCCCCTAATCTCCTTACACTAAATTAGAATCAGGCAATGCTAGACCAAATCTAAACAAACATGGTTACCTCCAAAACATGCCTTGAACGATTTCATTGTTCTTCCTTATTTGCAAATTGTGAGCTTGTCGCTTTGCCTAGCAAATGGGATTAAATTTGGATAGCGAAAATCCCTGGGCCCCTCGCAAATCAAACAAACCATGAGTTTCTCTGCTGGAGAATCCCACATGCTTGTTCCCGAAGATCTGTGCATGTTCATCCGCCTCAACCTGATTCTGATCCTGACGCCTATCCTCCCTCTCGTCATCATGCCGTTGACTGAACCGTTGATCCCCTCAAGGCAGGCTCGCTGAGGCTGCGACAACACCAGCCCCTGTGATGCATGCCAACCTCGGGACACTCTGAGGGCGCCAGATACTCCAAGTGGTGGTCATCCCCCGCCAAAGAATGCATCTCAAGGCGCAGGGTGTTGCTCCTGCCTCCATGCCTCACGATGCCAAGTACCAAGAAAAAAAACAAGAATATCAGAGTTCACACTCAAATCCTTTCAACACATTCATCATAACGGTCCTGAAAGCACCTGGGGTCCCAGGCGCAGGTTCCTCAAGAACTTCCACTCGTGCTCTGGGGGGATGTGCTCAGCGACCTGTGGCAGGCCCGAAAGCGTCTTCCCTGGTGGCGATGCGGTGCCTTTCAAAGAGAACTCGCTACAAAGTTACCAGAACTCAGAACTCATCTTCCCAGAGCTCAGGCACTTCATTGCTCTGGATGGGCCCCACGAACGTGACCCCAAGCACAAGCTCTGCAAACTATAAATATGTCTCTTCGAGTTCTTTTGGCAGATTCTGCATTCACGCAGCATGCGAGCCCTGTGGGACCTGCACTGCAGTGATGGTGGTTCGACTGGGTCGATTGCTTTTGAAAGAAACAAACTATGCAGATGGACGCCACATGGGTCCAACTCATGAACTGACTGGCGACCTGGGCCGCTGAACTGGCGCGTGCTCGATCCCTTCCCCGTGTTCGCTCCTCCAAGCAAAGAACCCAATCGAAGGGCTCGGGATGCCAAGCCTCAGTGGAAGTCATCTGGACTCAAACGATTTGGATGTGACCAACCAACCAACCAACCAACCAGCCAGCCAGCCAGCCACCCAACCAACCAACCAACCAGCCAGCCAGCCAGCCAACCAACCAACCAGCCAACCAGCCAGCCAGCCAGCCAGCCAGCCAGCCCAGGCAACCAAGCTTCGGGTTGGGCATCTGCTGAGTCTAGGGTATCCACGGTGTCTTGCGATTCAGGTGTCACCAACCCTCTGGTTGGTTCCTTTGGAAAATGCACCCCTTTTGAATTCGTAGAAACTCAAAGGACCAACCACACATGCAAAAACACAAACACACATGACATCATGCGAGAAGTCTCTTTCCGGACCTGGCAGGGGATGGGGTTTCCGAGGTTCCATTGTGCTTGCAAGAGGTGGCAAGGAGGCAAATGGTCCAAGGCAGGGAGTTGCATACTCAAAAGGAAACGGAGGGGTCACAATTTCAATGACAACCAAGTTGAGCCTTGCAGGTCATCCGATACAACTTCTGCCTGTGGCGAACAGTCCTGGCTCCATGCTTTCCACGGATCTTCCATTGCCAAGGCGAAACAGGAATGGTAGCCTAGACCTTACAGGAATGCATGACGCATGGCATCAGGTCTGCTTGCCTTCGGCATACCTCTCACTTTAGCCACAAATGCACAACCCAGCGATACTTAGCCAAGAAGATCACCAGATCAGAAAAAAGAAGAAGAAACAAAAACACCTATGACTCGTTCCGTGAACCAGCCCTTGCCATTGGGAGCACGGCAATGTCTAGCTCCTCCGCAAGGTCCGCCTGACAAGAACTCGCAACCGGCCTGAATGTATGGAGCCTTCGACTTTGGGCATTGTCCAAAAAAGCCTTCAATGGTTTCCACCCTCACAACGCTCGGGGTCAATTTCCCGTTCAAGCAACCCCACACATACCAAATCCACAAAAAGACTCGCTCTCCCTTTAACCCCCAACAGGGTACCAACTCCAAATAGAACATTTGCATGCTTTCCTTTCAAATCAACCCCAAGTCTACCAACTCAAGATAAACAACTCGCTCTCCCTTCTCAAGAAAATAGCGTACTAACTCCACAAAAGGACTCCGGAGATGCATTGGCACGACTCTCGCCTCGCTGACGGACTCCTCTGTGATCTCCGCCACGCCGGTGACGCCATCAAAAGCGAAGGCGGAGACCCAGCCGGTGTCGTTCAACCACCTTTTCTCCGCTTGGATCGATCTGCTTGGGTGGGAGGAAGGAGCTTTGATGATTCTTGACAGGAGAGAGCAAACAAACCTACCAAGAGTCAACAGCAGTGCAGGGCCTTTCCCACTTCAAATCCCCCCAAGTGGCAACAATGAAGAACTAGTTTTGCTGCTACTTTAAGGAACCCCTGCCACTTGCGAGCTGGAAGGAGGCGCATTGAAAACGTAGGGGACGGAGCATGGCAATGCCCACATGCACCGTCGCTAGCATTGCCTCGGTTTCTCGTGGACCCCTTCAATCCATGAAAGTCGGAAAAACAAAAACATAACATGGGAGGGTTCCATGACTTTTTTGGGAGGGTTCCAATAATTAACACACCCTCCCAGTTAACAAACACCCTCTCAATTGTTAAAAAAAAACACGTGGAACCTGATGGGCCCGGAAACTTGGACCATATCTCGCTTGCGAAATCTGCAAAGCCCTGCTAACAGTTTTACTTTTGATGGTTGAACTCGGAAAACCCATTAGTTGGCAAAAAGCTAAAGTCCTAACATCCAAGCAAAATGCGACAAAGAGCTCACTTTATAGCTTATTAAAACAGAACCAGGCTTAGATGGTCTCCTTTTTTGGGCCTTTTTTGCTTCCTGCATGCGCCCTTTGGCTTCCATGGCAACGTGGGGAATCCACTTGCGCCCAGCTCTGCCTGGAGTACTGCCCATCCAGCGCACCGAAGTCTGCCAGACTGCCGCCCGCAGGAAGGAGCCTCAGCCTCCAGCGAACGTTGACAGACTTCTCCCACAAGAGGGGCGTATGCGTGTGCATATATAAGTGTGTGTGTGTGTATGTAAATATATGTATATATAGCATGTATGCATATTATGTCATATAGAGATCAGCTTTGAAGCGGGAGTGGAAGGGAGGGGTATGGACAAAGGGAAACAGAAGAAAAGCCGCCTGGAGGCTCAAGGGATCCCATGAGACGTGTCATGGCATCGGTCTTGTGGTAGTGATTCGAAGCCCCCCGAGGAATTCAGTCAAAGGGGTCGGGCACATACCCATGCTTTTTCGGTTGGCCAGGATTCTGCGCGGACCCCTGTCGTGAGGTCAGCCCCAGGTGTTTTGTCCATTGTTGCCAACTCCAAAAAGGCCCAGAACCGCCTTGCGCCAAAGTCTACCATTTTCGGTGAGTCAAAGCAGTTGGCTTTGCGCTGGCCTTGGCCCTTAGACACGAAGGTTCACCCCGCATTCCACCCCCGTGAAGGAAGAGGGTTGATGTACTGATTACAGGTACCCTCACAGTCCTTTGGTGTATTTGGGCACAAGGCAAAACATCGGCCCTTAGAAAGTTCGACTGGGCAAGACCAAATTGACCTGGACTATTTTCATGAGGAGGTGGGGGTCCCACCACATCCCTTCTTCAAAAGGACATATTAAATTATGAACACACACCTCCAGAGGTCAACCCCTCCCGCCATTTCTTCTTGAGGGTGATGGCACACTTAATGCGTGGCTCGAGTCAACGGCTTGTCATTCAAGCCTTCTGAGGGTGGTGCAAGAACCTCAGCAAGCCCTTGTCCAAGATGGCAGACCTGTTGCACCGCGGAGTGCATACCTTTCAGACTCCAAGTTTGATTGTCAAAACTTAGGCCAAAATCCCACCGTCCCCACCCTAAAGGAGCCAGCCTTTTGACCATGCCACACATGAGCAAGGCCATATCTCTCTTGCAGCCCCATCCCGCTTAGGCGTGTTTTGAAGGCCATCCCGACGCAGAAGGCTTTGACTCTTCAGGCATTTTGATTACCCGGAAGCCAAGACCACGCTCATCCAGTCCTTGTGTTCTGTCCCTCTGGTCTTGCAGATCAAGTGCAGCCGAGCGGCTCGGGAAAGATGGTCCTATAGATGACCGTGGAGTTCATGAACATCCCGTGCCTCACCGTTGAAATGAGCCGGCATGCTCCTTTGTTCCCCAGATGGGTGTGGCTTTTCTTACCCCCAATGGGTGACTTGCTCCTTTCGGTTTCCCTTAAAAACAAAAAAACAACTCCGAAACACAGGCACCTTCAAAGGACACCCTGATCCGCTAAAACCTGAGGCCTCCGCTCTTCGTGGCCCCAAAAGTGCTCAGAACCTGACAGGCGGCTCGACCAAAGACGAGCGCTGTAACCGTTTCCTGAACCTCCGCACCCGGCAATTGCCGCGAAAGGCAAGCCGCATACCTCAAATCGCGCTCTTTCTCTTTTTCTTTTTTTTGCCTTTTTTGGAACGACGATGGACAACCCAGCTATCAGCTTTGCACAAATTGTGAACATGCTACTTGCAGCAATTGACTAGCACGTGGCTATTTCCCTTGTCCCGCTCTCACAAGTTTCGTTTCCGAAGCAAACAAGTTGTTTGGCTTGCATAGGGAACGGTCATGGTACCCATGCCGGCATCCATGGTAGGCCCCATTCTCAGTGGCACACGACCATCTCGAATCATCACACTCACAATCGGAGCAGGGCTTCCAGAATTTGTGCGGGCCCCTGCTTCGCTGGCTGTCAATAAGGATTATGCAAAAAAGAACTAAGGGGAGCTTCAGTCAGAAACACCCGGGGATTCCTTCAGCTCCGGCCTGAAGCGAAACGCTCCCAAAGATTTAGGGTAAAGTTGCCTTCGCCCATTTGGGAACTGCACCAGAAATAATGTCAAGTCGTACATGCAAAGGCACCAAAGTGCAGACTCTTGAGCACAAAAGTACAGACCTCAAATCATCATACACATGTAACAGTAGTCTCTCTCTCTCTCTCTCTGTCTTAATATATATATATATATACATGGGCCGGTTGATTAAAAGGCCCTCATGGGATGACCATTGGGGGAAACCAATAACAGGATGTTACATGTCAACCACATGGTTTGGGACCCCAGCGCGGCAGCTCGGAGGGCAACTGCTCCCGGAGCCCATAGAAGAGCGCCTCTCGCTGGCCCAGCGCCGTTCGTTCTTCAGGTTGGACCCCCCAGAAATGGCTGGGTTTTCCTGTTGCTTTTTTGCTTTGCATGTAAACCCATCCATAGGGGCGCCCTCAAAAATAGACACATCCAGAATCCAACTGGATCTGGACAAATCGGGGGTGACAATGGCGCCAGCCGAGTCGAACAGTCTGGATGACCGTGCTGTTGGGGTGATCCTCTGAAGGGGATCTACACCAAAAAATATCCCTTGTTGGTTTCCTTCTTTGGGACATTCGAAACCATGTCTTTTCAGAACGTTTGGCTTCGGACCCCAAGGAAACTCAGATAAAATTCACCCACACCAGTGAGGTCATCTTGGATAACACGGCAACACCTCCGGTGAACACTCTCATGTTGGCTTAAAACAAAACAACCAATTCTTCAATATTTGCGCTTAATATTAGTACTTTGAAAAAAACAACAGGGCTTGGGATAAGGATTGGTGTCACAAAGGTTCTGATTGAAGGTCTTCCAGGCCAATAACCCTTCTCCTGTCCAAACCACTCCAAGTTCGGTTTGTCCCCACTTTCTGCGAACGAAAACATCCTGGTTGTGACGGCAACACTTTGATAGGGCTGCCTTCCGTTTGGCGCTGCGTTGCGTTGTTGGCCTGCCAAAAAGTGATGCCTGATACGACTCACAGGGTACCAGGTCCTTTTTTTTCCGGGGGAAGGGTCTAGTGGCAGTCGTGACGTGGGGGGTAATGGAAGTCGCGACGTCGTTCGATCACTTCCCATCTTTTCAGGAGTCGCTCCTCAGCCTTCTGGAGACATCCCAGCAAAGCCTGGCGCCCGCTTAGAGTCGGACACTGAGAAGCAAACCGAGTCTCATGTCGGCGGTCATATCCCAACGACTCCTAGCCTGCCTATTATCCCATCCGAGCTGAGGCGACCCGGTAGAAAAAGAATCGGCACTCGATGCCACGTTTCCTAGGAAAAAACCAAAGCGCAAAGGGATTTAGAGGGATTGATGGATCCAGCGCCAGACTTCTGAAGCGCCTGGAGGTGCTTGGCCGGGCTGTTGGTGTTGGAGAACTGGCCGATGTCGAACATCCACCAGAGCGTTGAGACCTGCAGATCTCAAAACCTAAACAAAAAGAGCCCCAAACGTCTCAAGCTCTGGGGTTTGGTCGCCGTTTCAGAATCAGTCGCCATGAAGCCGTGAAGCCCAGGAAATGTTCCAATTCCGCGAGTTTTTCCTCAGCGGGCTTCAAAGCTCTCAGGGCTCTTTGGAGTCCTTTCGATAGAACCCGCCAAACACACCTACCCGAGTGACTAGAACGCCTGAACCAAAGTCTGCTTTTTAAAGCGGTCTACCATCTACACATGAAAGAGTAGTGAGTTATGAACCCGCTTCTTTGAATGACACTACCCAAAACTCAAAGTGACGAATCAGCGCGCAAAGATGCAGCACTGCACAAATCCTCTCCAAGGACAATTCCGAGTTTGGTTCAGCGGTACTTTGGCATCCTGAACCTAAGCAAGACTCCATATGATTTGCGTTCGATCCATAGCCGTGCAGGCGAACCGATTCCTTTTTGTGGAAGAGTAGCCTTTCTTATAGCCGCCTTGTGGATTTCTGCAATGCCATGCGCGCAATGAAATAGAAATGGCACCGAAGGGAGTGCAGTGTTGACGCACAGGTCCTTGATCAGGGTTAATCAAAGGCTGAGTGGGCGCATTTTTCCGCGACTCATGGCAATCCACTTGGGCCTGTGCTTACGCAACATATTAAGGCTGAATTATAAGCCAGTGAACCCCGGGGTTCGCATTCAGCAACGCGCGTCCGCCGTGAAGCCGGGCATGGTGTCCAGTCCCGGCTGCCAACCTTTTTTGGTCTACCCAGCGGGTAAAGAATCCGAGGAAGTTCCGGAACCATTGAAGTTCATGGTCCGCAAAAGGGCAATGCGGGCAAGGTATAATTCCCAGACTGGAACCCCCGAGTAAAGGACCTTCATGGTGAGCTAGTCTTACCCAGCGAGCTTGCTATACGGGCAGAACTGGCACTGGCACTGGCCAGCCAAAGGAAACGAAACGAAACGCTTGAAGCCTCAAGTAGTACATTTTTTTGATCCCATGATCACAACTTGATGTGGTGCCCAAGTGCGACACAAATACTGAACTCCATTCTTTCGGCCATGGGAAATCATAGATGCTATAGCTCAGTTGGAGCTCTCCGTTCCCTCGAGCGTTCGGCCTGCTGCTGCAACGCCTGCTGCAGGTGCCGCAAGGACCAGCCCAGTACCAGGCGCGCAGAGGAGTGGAAGCACAGCCTCCCAACATGTCCCGTTGGACCGGTAGATGAACCTAGGGCACTGTGAGCTCGTCTTTGTAAGTGAAGATTTCCCACTAAACCACAATAAGCAAACATGTAAAATGTTTCCCAACAACAACCATGATTATTCTGAGTGGTTATTGGGCTTGGACGAAGCCAGAAAAAAAGGAGGGTGTTGAGGGAACCCGTTTTTGGTTCTGTTGCTTCAAGAGAAATCAACCGGAAAACTATTTTTTCTTGGGGATTTTGCCGGGAGACAGACCCATATGTCCTAACTCCGGGGAAACATAAGTCACCCAATGGTAAAGGGGCGTATGGGGCGAGTTTGGGAGAGGAGGATTGTGGGGTTGTATGGGGCCGTTGTGAGGCAAGGCTTTGAGATTATATGGGCGACTTATGAGGCGAGTGATTAGGTTTGGAGCAACCCTGAAAAAAGGGGAGGCCGATTGTTCATAGGGGCTTTGGGTGTTCAATAGGCTTAGGGAGACTTCCTGGGAAACATGACAAACAGATCGACTGGTATTTGGAACCCTTGCCGAGCCCAAGTGAGTCATAATCAGAACATGGTCGACCTAGAAACGTGCAAAGATTCTTGAAGGCGGCCGCAGCTGTTTATGGTTGGGATTGTCCCTTACTAATCCTCATCTACCCGGGTTTGGGATCTCAAGCACCGTTGTCCCCTTCCTGGGTCCAATGCTGTGGCAGCCACCGCTTGGGGAATCGGCCCTGTGTGTCTCCGCTGTCTGTATATGAGCTTGATATCTGGCCAAGTTGATGCCCGTGGGGTTGCCGTAGGAGTTTCGGCGTGGATTTCCCACACTCGTGGCGCTTCGTTGCTTTCTAGTTGCTGGCCTTTGACCATGGCAATGAGCTTCACCGTAGCTTGCAGGGCAGGTTCCCTCCTTCAAACAAGAGCGCAACAACAAATATATAAGCCAAACATCTACTATGCATGAAAATGACCTGGGCGCCCTTTGGTGCACAATGATCAATAGCCAAATCGACGCAACATCTTCCACTTTGGCCAATGGAGCGCGGCGAATCTTGCCTGTGCACCATGGCGGCCAAGCCCAGGTGTTGCAACGTCCGCAAGGTGAGCCTAGGGAATGAGAAACAGCGAGCCACTCTGCCGAAGAACAAATTAACGTACCGATGCAGGGAACGGGCCGTTTGGGTGTTCCGGGGTTGAGTTGGGGAGGTGAACTGCCAAAATTCCTGGCAGCTGCTCATATCCACCGGCAAGTACCTCGTTGTGTTGAAACTGATCTCAACATGGTGCCTGTGATTCAACATGTCACAGTGATCGCCTCGTGCCTTCACTGATAGTTGACACACCAACTCCTGTTGCACGATGGGATCTCAGGCAAGCCGCAAAAGAAAGGCAAGCTGGTTGAATTACTTGAGCTTTAAACTGGCCGCTTCTTTTGGTTGTCTTGTGGCTTGCCTGGAACGGAGTTTGTTTGTCCCATCTGCTCTCAGCTGGGCACTGCAGTGTCTCCGCAACGTTGGGAAAGAGCTGCGCGTAGACTGCGAAACGTCGGACGGCTTGGATTCAGGGCGCCCGCTCTGCGTACACTCACTCCGAAGGACCTGAAAATAAACGGTTCCCAAGTAAGTAATCCCGCAAACATCAACGATAAACGAGCCTCTTCATGGTCTCTTCAAGATGAGTCAAACTTACTCAAATGGACACTTTCTTAGCAAATTCTGTTGCAGCGTCCGGCTGACAGTCAAAATTATCTGTCCAGGTGTTGTTCATACCGGGTTCTGCGGGACAAAAAAAGCCCATCCCCCAGATCCATTGTGACAACAGATGCTGATCCCCTTTCCCCCCAAATTCAAAGTTGGATGTGGCCCGTACTAACAAAGCCTGCGGGGGGAGAAAAAAAGCGCCCATTCTGGCTTCAGGCATCACAGCATTCCTTAACAACATTGAAGTTGGCGGCGCGGGGGGGCGCGAGGGGCAGACAATTGGCTGAGAGTAGATGGGCGTTCTTTTTTCGCAGAACCCGGTAGCTGGCATCCTGCCAATCAAGTGCTTGGTGCTCATGTCAATCTGGTGGGGTCAGGGCAACTAAAAACACCAAGCAAAGCAAGAGGCAGCTGGTAAAATAAGCTGCAGGTCAATATCAATCACAGAAGAGACAACGTGTCGTCAACATAATACCAATCACCATAAGAAACAACTCATAAGGTCAACAAACTGTCTGTCCATCACCAAGGCACCAAGCAATATTTGAATATGAATAGTCAGTTCAATCAATCCGCACGCCACATATGTCAAAACCGGAAAATATCATGAACAACAAACAACAACAAACAAAACCACACGCGCTTCACCCGCCGCCGCAAGCAACGGACAAAGGATGCGCATCTTTCCGGGCACACCTGCGCCGGTCTCCTCCAAATTCTCAATCTGCTCCAACAGCCAGGGGACGCCTGAAACGAAGCAAAGGGCACCTAGCCACGAGGAAAACGAGGCACCCAAAAGGAGACTGAAAGAAACCTTTCGAGGAAACAAATGCCTTGAGCAACAAAAGTGCAACAGAGATCAATGAACAAAGGAATCACCGGTCCTCGAAGCTTCACAAATGATCTCAAAATATGCACATCACAAAAAAATATCCCCTCTGGCAAGGGCGAGTGGGCGAGTCCTATGGACATTTTGACCAACCTACGAAAAGAAACACGGCCCTTGGGAAACAAGGCTCGTGAGCTTCGGATGCACTCCGCGAAAGGCACTCAAGAACTTGCGCTTGTAGGTGCGAAGAGTGATGAATACTCATCCAGTCCCTTTCGCTGTTGTAGAGGACCTAAACGAATACCGCACCTAGGTCCTCCAGTAGAGAGGGTAGAAGAAGGGTACCCACTTGTTATCCTGTAGTCTATTTTAGTAGGACCCTCCCCCCCAAAAAAAACAAAAGGACACTACTGGGGGAGCTAGGCGCCATTGAGCACCCAGGTCTTGGCCTTGAGAGAACAAACATGGCGCAATGAAATGACGCGACGGAACATGGTCTGAGCGGTCTGAGACCTCCTGGCTTCTCAATCAGTTGTAGCAAGATTGCAACTGGTCCAGGCTTAAAACTTGGGCATGAGTGTTCCGACAGAAATGGGGCATGCCTGTATGGCTAGTTGCTTCCGATTTCCCTTTCAAGACTGAAGCGGAAGGTGCTTGGCATTTTCCAACACATGCCGTTGAAGCAATCCGTGCTGGACGCGGTCGTTTCCAACCTCCGACTCCCTTAGCACAACTGAGTCCCGGGCTGTCCACAAGCTCTTGGAGAGCCTCGGTGGCTAAAGGAATAGGTTGGGCCCTCGTGAATGGCGAGCGCCAAACGGACAAAAAAAAACAGATTACCGGGGGCCTCAGGGAAAATCAAAAGAAACACATCCAGGCAACCAGCAGAAACACGCATCCAGTTTGGAAGGGGCCCTTGAATTAGCCTTGTTGAGGGCATCCCAAAAACTAAACTATTCAATGGTGAAATGTTCAGGGAAACCCTTCGCTGAGAAATTTGCAATTGGGGTTCTTCCACACGTCAAAGCCAAAAGGCAAAAACGCCGCATTTGTACCCCGAAGACTCTTCGAGCAAGTCTCAGCTGAAGTGATCATGTGGGCAGTGCGACCAACAAACTTCTCCAAACAGACAGGACTTCTCAAGCTTGAGCCGAAACAGTTCTAGCAAAACCTGGCTGCGTTCTAAAACTGAAAACAGGGTAACAGGAAACATCTGTTCAGTGTCTGGGGAGAGGCGATTCTTATTTCTAGGTTGTAGTGCAAGCATGCTGCGCTTCAATTGCCGAGTGAAGTCAATTGCGGGGTGAGCGCTGCGACCGTCGCGCACATTGAAATTTCCTGATTCGGAACATGTTGGCATGGGCCAAATTTGGTCGGTGCGAGGCAAGTGCGCAAAAACCACATGTCAGCGCAGTGTACACTGCTGCGGGTCATCGGGAGGGATCTCACTTGGTTCAACATGTTCACAATAGCCTATACACAGCATCCAACAGAGCCTCGAAGAGTACCAGCATGCATCCAGAAACCAGCGCAGTAAGCTCCCTTTCTTTTGCACACCCGCGAAGAGTGCAGATCATCGCTGAGATAGTACTCACAGCCAGCGACAAGGGCGCACTTTCGATGTTCAAGCTTCGCACCGTGTCACAACACTCAGAATATGCAGAGGCGATCTCGATGTTCAAAATTCGCGTCGCGCTGCGGCGAAGCGCGTTCGACACACCGAAAGTCCGCAGCAGGCTACCGTCGATGCCAAAAACTCACCTCAGGCCACGGCGACAGCGAACCAAAACAGCCGAAGACCTGCAGATTCACCAACCAATTGTATTCGGAGACGGCGGAGGGAGAGCGAGAGAGAGAGAGAGAGGAAAAAAAAGAGACAGAGAGAGAGAGAGAGAGAGAGAAAGAGAGAGAGAGAGAGAGCGAGAGAGAGAGAGAGAGAGAGAGAGAGAGAGAGAGAGCGAGAGAGAGAGAGAGAGAGAGAGAGAGAGGGAGAGTCCACCCTCGAAAGACATCAACTACATCCGACTTTTGCGAGCCTGCGGGGTCGACACGTGGGCCTCACCAGGGAGCTTTTGCAAGCCTGCGCAGCAGAAAAGCGCGCCCCCCCAAACATCGTCCCAACGCTTGTGCAAGCCTGCGCAGTGACGTGCGCCCCAAGTGTTCACAAAGTCGCAGTTGCGCGTAACAACCGCGACAAAAATTGGCTGGGCCAGAGCAAGCGCCCTGACCTAAGCCCGGCCCTTCGCCCTTGCTTTTGGGAAAGAACCGATAGCTGCGCTGCGCACATCTGCACCTTCTTTGCCCGTGACAGCTGCGCTCCTGTATCAAATTCATCTGGCCGCGCATCCTTGCAGAAAAGCCCATGGCGATGAGCGCCGGACCCTTCGCAAGTTTGCGAGCTCTGCCATCCGTAGCCTGCACAGCCACGCAAAACGCCGACACACCCGGATTAAGGCTAACTTCCTGAAGATGCATTTCTTTTCCCCTTTCCAAAAAGAGCAGCCCAGGGACTCAGAAACAAAATGCAAGAGCACGCTCTCCTGGTGATACGTTTTCAAGGAGGGACAACCACACCAGTGGATTCTACCTTGAAGCCACCATGTAAATGATTCCGGCATCGGTTCCCCACGCTGTGTCCGTGACAAGTTCGCGCGTGTTTGGCGAACCCGCCGAGCAAGTTGTCGCGAGAATCCCAGACCTGTCACCCGCGCCCTCGCGCCCAAAAGTTCCAAAACATGACGCGAGTAGCTGTGTCTCCCCGCAGCGCCCTTGAAGTGCGCGCGTCTACACATGCGTCGCTGCTCGCATTCCAGCAGGCGAGCGTGTCCGCGTGTTCGCGCGCCTCACGCAACGTGCGTTCCTGGGTCCTAGGAAGCCTTCAATGACGAAACGTATCTCCAGGACCTCACTGCGCCCAAACAAGCTGTGCAAGCCAACTGCGCAGCCTTGCGCGCAGCTGACTGGACAACACGCAGTGAAGGCCAGAGTGCTGGCATGCGCCTTGCAAGGCTTCGACTGTCCTAGAAATTCCGCGAAAGCAACCCAAAGCAGGAAACAGTTTCTACAAGTGAATGTCCATGCGGACATGTGGGAATGGGCCACACGTCCCTGGCAAGAGCGTTGTTGGTTGCTCTGTGACACCTGAACATACCACTAGCCTCCCCAGCCTGCCATCAAGCACGACTTCCGTGGGCATCAATCGCTGACATCGACGCGTCAGTCTGCCAAGACTTCACCAAATTCTGCGTGGTAGCCACAGCTCGGAGGCCAGCATCATAACACGCGCTTGGCAGCGTCCCCCACCCGCAACCAAGGTCAATGTCACGCAAACGTTGGAGCCCATCCCGACCAAGATTGCGCCCCCGCCACGCGATGACGCAACACCTTAGGAGACCCAACAGACACCGTAAGGGGCAGCAACCGGGCGATCGAGATGTTCTGGCAAGTCATCGCATCCGCCGGCACAGGCCAGACCCATAGGGCGTACCCAAACAACGTGTCCACGAGCATTGTTGCGTGTGGGGAAAGTGACACGCATGCCGGTGATGTCACTTTTCTGTATTGGTGGGGTAAAGTGTGTGCAAAGCCCAAGAGGTCCCTTCGAGGCCACATAGCATCCACCAGCAACCACTGAGGGTCACATCAGAGTCCAAGTCGTACTCATCTGGGGCCAATATTGGCTGCAATGCGTCTTTGAAGGGCGGGCCCTGCGCTCGCTTGATGCGACTCACGTTGGTGATTGCTGGTTCTACATCTGGTGGGTCGCTACCTGTCAGGGTGTTCCTGTCGCCTGTGTGACCGTGAGTGGCTTCGATGTCCCACGACTTCGCGATGGTCCAGGTCTTCCATCTGGAATCGTGTGGGTCTTGGCGCGTATGTTCAGCCACTGACACAGGCTGGTGTGCCACGATCGGGTGGTATGCTGGTGTGCCACGATCGGGTGGTAACAAACAAGCAAACAAACAAGCAAGTAAAAAACAAACGAACGAACAAACAAGCAAACAAGCAAGAAAGCAAGCAAGCAAGCAAGCAAACATTCGTTCGCGCGCAGCTCTTCCCACCCAGCCCACCTTCTTTTCATGATCGGTGTCAAATTCTTTCGCACCCAGGACTTTCCCTGGGTGACACCGAAGATTGGCCTATGGGTAACATCCATACCCACAAGGCCCAAGAATCTCCTGGTGTGGGTGGGTGGGTTACACAGCAGCGGGTGGCTTGCTCCCTTGACCCAAAATGGCGCGGGAGACACCCGCATAACCCGCCCTCCACCCTCAAGGCGAACTCACTCATGTTACAGGCCACATGAACGTTCTCTCCAACATTCGTTCGCGCGCTGCTCTTCCCACCCAGCCCACCTTCTTTTCATGATTGGTGTCAAATTCTTTCGCACCCAGGACTTTCCCTGGGTGACACCGAAGATTAGCCTATGGGTAACATAAGGCCCAAGAATCTGCGCTTAATCTTCGGACGAGGATGAAGCTGAGGTGGAGGAAGCAGATGCTGGAGAACGAGGGTGGCACTTAGGACATTTCCTGTACCCATCGTGACCATCAATGGTGTACCTGATAGTTTCGGCATGCAACTTCCCTGCAAAGCTCCAACCACAAAGCGTGTTCCAGTGAGACGTGGGTTCAGCAAGGTCAACAATTGACTGATGTGCCACTTTTGAGGCATCATTGCGCACAGTCCATACTTCCTTGCCAGTCGAATTTGAATTCAACATTATTCCCATGCCAGCAACCTGGTGCGCGATATCGCCAACCTCCTCGGTCAACTGACGCAACTCGCGCTGTCCTGTCAATTCTGTCCATGTAGTCATTGACTAGCGACTTCACATGGGCTTTTAGGTCCATATCTGAAGCAGCTTTTGGCTGAACATCTTGAATGATGGAAAATTCACAAGATCGGCTCAAGCGATTGCAAAATCCTTGCAGAGGTGCATCAGCGAGGTATGAAAGAACTGCAGTGCTACCCCAGCGACCAATCAACTGAATGGTTATGGGATCCAGACCCCAGGCACACAAGGTCCTTGCGCCCGTGATTCTGAACGTGTGCCCGGATATGCACCAGTTTCCTCTCCCGTCCTTAGCAGTTCCCTTTGCCATGAGAACCGCCTCACGGATGGTGTTGACAACGCCTGCCTTGGTGCAGTACTCAAGGTCAGTTGTGGGGAACAAGGGGCAATTTCTGTCGCCAAATGTTCTCTCCAGCAGAGCACAGTGATCAAGAAGAACATGAACCGGACAGCTCAACCCCCGCAAAGACAGCTCCACGTCCTTGAGCAACCCTTGGCCTGCCAGTCCACCTTTGAGACTGGCAACCTCAGGGTTACTGAGTCCACAGTGACGCCTCCAACTCCCGCAACATGAAGAGAGTTGACACCAGGATCATGGCCCGAGGGCTGATTGGTCCAGAGCTTGCCAGAGGGGCCACATCCTTGAGAGCGTTCATCACTTTCATTAAGTCAAACTGCTCCGATCTGTCGAGCGCGTGCATTTCCGCGAAACCAAATCCAGCTTGTCTGACCATGAGTGGCCAGCGCTGATGTGATGGTCCTTTATCCGCGACATGTAGTTCTTGAACGACTTGTAGCGGCCCAGCGAGGACACTCCCAGGATCTTTTCCCGGGTGAGCGGAATGATGTCAGAGTTGTTAAACCACTTTCCATGGAAAGACGTCCAAGTGTTGAGTGGCGCGTCTCGTGGCGCTCTACTCGATGACGCAAACATGTCATCCACCAGGCTTCCCATTGCACGATGGAGTGTTTC